AGCCCTTCGTGGCCCCATCGCTGCCTTTCGTGGCCCCGTTGCTGCCGTCAGTGGCCCCGTCCTTGCCCTCTGCGGCCCAATCTACATATGCCCTTCGTGGCCCCCGCTCGTTCGCGCCCGTCGTGGCCCCATGTGCATGCCCTTCGTGGCCCCGCTGTCGCCTCTTGTGGCCCCCTCGCTGTCCTACGTGGCCTCGTTGTTACCCTCAGTGGCCCCGTCGTTGCCCTTTGTGGCCCCGCATTATCTGCCCTTCGTGGCCCCCGTTCGTTCGCGCCCTTCGTGGTCCCATGCGCATGCCCTTCGTGGCCCCGCTGTCGCCCTTCGTGGCCCCCTTCCTTCCCTTCGTGGCCCCGCTGTCGCTCTCGCTCTCGCTTTCGCTCTCGCTTTCGCTCGTCGTTGTCGTCGTCGCCGACGTCGTCGTCGTCGTCGTCGTCGTCGTCGTCGTCGTCGTCGTCGTCGTGGTCGGTCCCCTGTCTGTCCCTCTTAGGGTCGGGTTGCCGCCGACGGTCCGCGGCCGCCCCGCCGCTTGCCCGGGCCATGCCCGCAAGGAAGACAGATTTATCGCCCACAAGGGGCACAATCGAAAACGAAGAGGGCGGGTATCGAGGGTTTGGGATATCCATGTTGAATGACACTCGAGCAGCTGAGAGCGAACACTTTTAAACTGAATGTTGTTATTGTTGTTGTTGTTGCTGTTGTTGTCTTTGTTGTTGGTGGTGATGACGATGGTGCTGCTGATGGTGATGATGCCGATGAGGTTGCTGATGTTGACGACGATGCTGATGCTGATGATGCTGCTGCGGATGATGATGAGGATGCTGCTGATGATGATGGTGAGGACAGTGCTGGTGATGACGTTGTCGACAGCGCTAACGATTATGCTGCAGCTGATGTTGATGATGATGGTGCTGATGATGATTATGATGGTTATGATGATGCTGCTGCTAAATGCTGACACTGCAGATGATGATGATGATGCTTATGATGATGATGATGATGATGATGATGATGATGATTATGATGACGATGCTGATTCTGGTGATGATGATGATGATGATGATGATGATGATGCTGATGATGATGATGATGATGATGATGATGCTGACGCTGCTGCTGATGATGCTGATGATGATAATGCTGATGATGGTTGTGATGCTGATGATGCTGCTGATGATGATGACGATGATGCTGCTGCTGATGATGATGATGATGACGACGATGATATGACGCTTATCATGATGATGCTGATGAGGAGGAGGATGAGGATGAGGATGAGGATGAGGATGATGATGCGGATGATGATGATGATGCTGATGATGATGCTGATGATGATGATGATGGTGGTGGTGATGATGATGCTGATGATGATGCTGATGATGATGATGATGATGATGATGATGATGATGATGATGATGATGATGATGATGATGATGATGATGATGATGATGATGATGATGATGATGATGATGATGATGATGATGATGATGATGATGATGATGATGATGATGATGAGGAGGAGGAGAGGAGGAGGAGGAGGAGGGTGAGGAGGAGGAGGAGGAGGAGGAGGGGGATGACGATCATGAGGATGAGACTGGTGGTGGTGATGGTGATGAGGAGGGGGAGGAGGAGGATGATGATGATGATGAGGAGGAGGAGGAGGAGAAGTGGAGGAAGAGGAGAAGGAGGAGGAGCAGGAGGAGGAGGAGGAGGAGGAGGAGAAGTTGGAGGAGGAGGAGGAGCAGGAGGATGAGGAGCAGGAGGATTATGAAGAGGAAGGCTGTCACCTGTGACGCCTTTCATCTTCACTAGTTGTGGAGCTCTCATGGACGTCGTTTGGGCCGTCTTGGGGCTGTCTAGCCCTCCTATGGTGGAGTCTTGGGGGCCCTTGGGGACTCTCGTGGGTCGTATGGGGACCCTCTTGGCTGCAAAATGGTTGTCGGGGGACCGTCGTGGGGCCGCCTCGGGCTGTCGAGAGACCTTCTGAGGCCGTCTTGGGTCCCACGGGAGGCCCTCTTGGGACGTCTTGGGGCACGTCTTGGATGCCCCTTGGGCCGTCGTGGGCCCCTCCTGGGCCGTCTCGGGACCCAGGGCCATCTTGGAGGGTTCTTAGGCCGCCCTGTCGAGTTGCCGACTTGGACGGCCCAAGAGGCCACCAGGACGCTCCAAGAAGGGCACACGGGCGTACAAAGACCGTCCGCGGAACCTCCAGAGGGGCTAAGTGGCCCCCAAGACGATCCAATAGCATTCCAGGAGGCCTCCCAAGGAGCCCCAGGAGGCCCAAGTCTTCCCATCCCCTTTCTGGGAAGCGTGCATTTTCAGCATATTCGTTTTTTCCGACTTCACCAGCGTCCAAGACAGCCCAACAGGCGCCCAAGGAAGACCCGAGACAGCTCAAGAGGACCCCCAAAAGGCACAAGAGGGCCCCAAGAAGGTCTAAGGGGCGCCCGAGCAGCCCAAGACGGCCCCAAGAGGGGCCCAGAAGGGGGAGCTGGAACTGATA